CCCTCCCCTGTCCGCAGGCACCGTGCAGGCAGGGGAGGAAGAGAGGACCTGGGAGCTCACCCTGCAGCTCCTCTGGGTCCTTCTTGCGCGAGCACAGAGCGTTGCCGCGGTTACCATGGCAACGTTACTGCTCTTGCGAGAGTCAACTCTAGCCCTGGAGCTACGGGCTAGAGTTCACTCTCAACACTGTAACCCCCATGGATTCCTGGTGGTCGCAGTGGTGAGAGTGAACTCTAGCCCCATAAACACACTGCCCCCACACACACACCATACACATTCACACACTGCCCCCATACACACCATACACATTTACACACATTGCCTCACACACACACATACACTGCCCACCCATATACACACAGACCCCCATACACAGCCCCCCATACTAACATTGCCACACACATACACTGCCCACACACCCTACACATTCACACACTACACCCCCACACACACACTGAACCTTTCACACACATTGCACCACTGCTCCTATTCCCTACTACAGCCTCATATCCCAGCAGACCCCAGGTAAGTTGTCAAACTGTTCTTAAACGGTTTGACTACTTACTCTGGAGCAGTAGTGGTTATTGTGCATGGATTATTTCTTTAAATAATCTACAAGTGCCCCAGTAGCCAGCCAGCCAACCCACAGGCTGGCCAGTAGCCAGCCAGTTAGCCAGCCCACAGGCCAGTAGCCAGCCCATAGGCCTACAGCAAGCCACAGGCTTACAGCCAGCAAGCCGCAGCCTGCCAGCCGCAGTCAGCAAGCCCACAGCCTGCCGGCAGTAGCCAGCAAGCCCACAGCCTGCCAGCCGCAGCCAGCAAGCCCACAGACTGCCAGCCAGCAACAGTAATTAAGGTAAGAGGAGCCAACTTGGCTTAGGTATCAGCGAGCTATGTTGTGTTGCTATATTGTGAATAGGAACCAGAGTGTTGGAGAGACCACCCTCCAGGCCCCATTAGACTCTAGCCTCTGCTAGAAATCCCCTCCATGGCCCATTAGCCCTCAATTGTAGTTTCTACTGGGGCCTGGAGGCGACTGTTTCCAGCAGGGGATATCTAATGGACGCTGAGATGGCCTCTGTTAGAAAGACCCCCTTCCAAGCCTTTTAGACTCCATTGTAGTCTCTAATGGGGCTTGGAGGGGATTCTATCTAACACACTCTCTAAAGGACACTGAGATAGCCTCCGCTAGAAAGACCCCCCTCCATGGCCCATTAGCCCTCAATTGTAGTCTCTACTGGGGCCTCGAAGGGCTTATTGCCCTTTTGTTCCTTGTGTCTAAAGATTGTGTAGGGTGTGGCTGGAGGCGGTGCATGGAGGCGGGACAAGGGTGGCGCTTGCTGCAGAGTATGGGTGGGGCCTGTAAGGGGGCCCTTGATTTATTTTGCCCGGGGGCCCTGAGGGTTCTCAGTCCGCCCCTGGCTGTCACATTCTCCAAGGGCTAGATGTCAAGCAATACCACTGATAGAGTCTAAACACAGGAGGGGGGGACTCTAGTTTTATGATTTTGCTTTTTCCAAGCCAATCATTAAAAATCTGGTGCAAATGTATGCTACAAAAAACATGTTTGGAGTGTCAGTTAAGTAGTAAAGTTTTTTTTTTATCTTGCTGAAAATGTGACCACTGTTTCATAATGCTAAACATATACGGTCCATTAAAAAAAAAGCTGATGTTTGAAAATCTTGCTTCTTCTACAAATCAACAGACTTTTACTTTGCCTACTCCAGGAAGTAGCTTGGCCAATAAGGAGACAATCACGATTTAGATCTGTTAAAGTGCAGATTTGGTCTTAGTTGGTTAACTATCTTTGAAAATAGAAATGTCACTAGCCTATACAGCAACTATATCTTAGTAATTCTTTTTTAAATCCGTCAATCTCAACAGTGGAGTAAATTATAATTCATCTATAAGAATGTGTTGACATCTGTTGATGAGCTGAAGATGAAAGTCAAAGCAATCATAATCTCAGTTCTGAAGAATAATTTTAATACTTTACGTTAATTCAAAAGACCTATCATTTATGTTTAACAGTGAAGTTTAATCAATCGGAATATTTACAAAGAATATTTGTCAACATAATAGTGGAACTATTGCACACATCAAATTGGACACAAAAAAAAACTAAAAGGAGATTTGTACAATTAACCAATAGCCTGAACAGTAATTTATTTATCTAATAATTTACTTTGCAATCTTTTAAAAGTTATTATTGCTATACACTTCTTTAATTTATTCACTGTTCTCTACAAATGCACTGTCACTTTAAATTTAATTATACTTCCAGTGTAAATTACTTTGCCATGAATTTGAAACATTATTTTTTTTAATTACATTTATTAATTCATATGATAGCACTTTTGCATGACACTTTATCTATGATACTTTAATTATATATATAATTTATTCAATTATTTATAGTTATATTGTGGAATATATATATAAATTTTTATTTTTTATTTTATTAATAAAATCATTAGTTATTGATCATGGATTACATGTATTACACTGTCTGTTTTTTACACTAGGTTATGCATTTAATTACTGGGGATTTATATCTATTGTTTTCACATTCATGGCTTATTTGTATCGAATAGTGTTTTTAATGAATTACATGCTGTACCTGACATTTTTATACCCTTATATGGCTACTAAGACCTGTGTTATATCTTGTGCCTTGTATTTGCTCCTTTGTCTCTATCTGCAATCCTTATATACTCGAAATATTTGTGCGTGTCCCCTTCGTGCATGCTTGTCTGTCATGTGCCTTTGCATCAGGTGCTTTACGTGAGGTGTGGGCCTTCATACTGTAATTCTGCAGATAGCAATGGGCATTTTTTTTAAAGGTTTTTTTTTTTTTAACCAAATCATGGGCAATAATCTAATATATTATATACACCCCTATATACTTATTAACCCTTAATAGGGAACACATGGGATGGGCGGCAGCATTGTAACAAGGCTGTGTGTAGGACCCGCTTTAGGTGGGTCTGCATTGACGTTGGCAGGCTGGCATTCCCTCCAATGCCATTGGAGCAACTAAATTACCTCCATTTGTCTAAATATACATCGGGATTAAGGAGAGAGCGCAGGTAACTTTTTCTTTTCTTTGGATTTAACTATATATTGGGGCTGATGTGTACTGTAGTCATTGCTGCCGGCCCAGTAGTGATGGGAGTGAGCACAGGACTTATCTTTCTGTACTTGTATTTACTTTGTATCACACAGCCTTGTTACAATACTGCCGCCCATCCCATGTGTTCCCTATTAAGGGTTAATAAGTATATAGGGGTGTATATAAAAAATACCCCTCTCTGTCTCATTAGAGATATCTTTGCCAGAAGCTCAGGGAAGCAGGCTGAAGGGTCAGTGTAGAACCCGCTTTAGGGGAGTCTGCCTTGACGTTGGCAGGTAAGCATTCCCTACAATGGCCATTGGAGCAACTAAATGACCTCCATTTGTCTAAATATACATAGGGATTAAGGAGAGAGCGCAGGTAACATTTTCTTTTCTTTAGTTTTTACTATATATTGGGACTGATGTGTACTGTGGTCATTGCTGCCTGCCCAGTAGTGATGGGAGTGAGCGCAGGGCTTATCTTTTTGTAAATATAAAAACCTTCAATACCACAGGATGTCAGGATCCTTCATAAAATGTAGTGGTACCTTGAAGTTTTTTGCAGTGTCCTGTAACATAATTTTGATGTGATATTCCAAAAAGTATTCTTAGGAAGGAATGATTTGTTAAAAAAAAACTTCTGAACTCTAAAGTGTTACATTTCATTAATACATTGTTATTTTTAAAAGAAGGAAAAGTTTTTGAATTTAAATGTAATAATTATACTGCAAAACATGTTTCATGAAGAAATAATGCTACTTAATATTATGTTCAGCTTTCAAAATATGTTTTGCAGGCTCCTGAGGGATGCAATACAACTTACTATGCTGTTCTGAATTTCATTTAATTGTGGTTTTAGGGAGAAATACTGATTTCCTTTTACTGGGGTCAAAATGGATATTTCCTTAGGACAGTAAATCTGCCGTTAGGGACCATTTAATTTTTTTAACCTACATCTGCAATAAAAGACTAATGAGCCTACTGGGAAGAGTGGATTCAGAACTAGGTGACCAGTGCTGCAGGACATTTTTTACCATTCTATAACTTCTAGTAATACTGTTTTATTTTTCTATTGTCTAAAAACATGTAGTTCTTCTAAGAAAACTGTGATCTTGTTTGGAGGCAATATGTTTTTAGCAACCAAGTATATGGTTTTCAATGAACTTAGTAACTTACATATTACCTTGCAGTTGTTTATGACATAAGCAATGGCATTTTTGCATTTATAGACAAGATCTAGGATTATGGTAATGTGTCTTTTAAATGTTTCTTATTTGGTCATAAAATTCAAATCTTATTCTAGGGAAAATATATGAGTGCATTTTTATTTTATTTGTGTGTTATTATATTTTTTTTTTCAAATCTGACAATTTTTATTATTTTGTCATTTCTTGGGAGGTTGAGGGTACAGAAAAAAGAAAGGGAGGGGTGAGGAAGGGGGAAGTTGCAATTCCATAAAGAACGTGTACAAGTTGGTTGTTACATACAGTCTCTTTAGTCACAGTTGTTGATGTACATATAATAACTGTTGAACAGTACAAGGCATTGGTATTCGTGCATTGACCGTTGGTATATATACCTTTCCCTTACCCTTGAAGTAGATGAGAGGGAGAGAACTAGGGCCCGACCTTATGCCTTAGTGGTAATGTTTGTCATGTTTTCCCATGGGAGCTTGATGTGTGTTTGGGGTTGCTTGAGGGTTATTCAGGTTGCTATTCGGGTTCACCTCATGACCTCTAGTGTTGTTTGGAGTGGTCGTACTCCTTGTGATCAGTTACTCTGACATTCCCGTATGATGAAGTATGCTTTGATAAGTATTTTGGCCACGTGTGGGTTTAGGTCAGTCATGACGTCAGCTCACGACAGGAGGTTCCCTGTTGTGCCACCTTTGTATGTTTCCCACTTATCCCATGCTATTTCCCAGTATCTTCGGTACTGTTTATGTGGTTTGTTGGGAGGTGTGTTTTGCCTTCTCATTGTGGTTTCAAAATGGCCCGCGTGACTTATTTGTTGTATGCACATGGAGATGGAGGGTATAGTTTGTGATAGCCAGTTTTGTGCTAGTGCGCCCAGGGCTACTATATTTATATGGAAGATGAGATACCTATCTGGTTTAGGTAGCGACTCTGGGATATTGAAGAGCACATAGTGTTCTAAATTATGAGGTAGGGTGCATCCTGTGCTGTTTGTAATGATTTTGGATATGTCTTTCCAGTATTGTTGTAGGTATGGGCAAGTCCACCATATGTGTGCCATTGTCCCTGTGCCTGATTTGCATCTCCAGCAGTGTGTCGGAAGAGATTGGTTATATTTGTGTAGTCGTATGGGCGTGAGGTACCATCTATATAAGAGTTTTTTGGCAAGCTCTATATGTCTTGAGCATAAAGAGAAGGTTTTGGGGGTTAGGATCATGCGTTCCCATTCTGGTTCAGTAAATTTTTTGTGGGTCTCTGTTTCCCATGCTTTGATAAATCTGTGTTCGTGCAGTTTGCGTTTTGTGGGTAGTGTTGTGTAGATAGAGGATATGACTTTCTGGGGCGGTGTGGGGCTAGTATACATTTCCTCGAATGCTGTCATCTTTTGTGTCTGAGTGCTGATTGCTTTCTCCTGAATTTGTACGCGTAGCCATGAGTCTAATTGGCGGTATGAATAATGTGCTACTATTGGGAGCTTATGTGAGTCCTGTAATGAGGCAAAGGTCGCTAGTCCCGTGTTGGTGATTATCTGGTGTAGAAATTGTATGCCATGTCTTTCCCATATTCTGTAGTTAAAATCCGGGATAATGTGCGCTATTGACTTAAGTGGCATGGCTTTGGAGATGATTGAATTATTTGTTAGGATGGGACGGGCCCCATCCCATATTTTTAGTGATAATGTTGTGGTTGGTAGGCAATCTTGCAGTTGCGGCCGGTTAAGTTTTGGTATCCACACTAAATTGTCAGTACTAGCATTATCGGCCCATTCTGCTTCTAGGTGCTTCCATTGAGGTGCTTGTGTGCCTGGTCGTGCTTGGATGATACTGCTAAGTATGGTTGCATGGTAGTACTGTTTAAGGTTTGGCATATTCATGCCCCCTTCTTTGAGCGGTAACTGCAGTACCTTTAGGGCTATACGTGCCCTTTTGTCATTCCATACAAATCTGGTTATCCAGCGTTGGATTGTGGTAAAATAAGTGGCGGGTATATGAATCATAAGTGATCTGAAAAGGTATAACAACTTGGGGAGGATTTTCATCTTGATCGCTACCATGCGCCCCGACCAAGATATGAATGATGTTTTCCATTCTTGTAGTTGTTTTTTTATTTCTATACTGAGTTTGCCGTAATTGGCGTTAAATAGTGCGGTATGCGATTTTGTGAATCGTATACCTAGAAATGTAATGTAGTCAGTTCTCCAGTCGTATGTGTAGGTGTTTTTTAGTTTATGGGTGACCTCTGGGGGGAGTCCTTTGCAAAGTACTTGCGTCTTAGAAATATTCAGTTTGTAATAGGACATTTTACTGTAGTTTTCTAGTATGGAGTGGAAATCTGGTAGAGAGGCTTCCGGGTCTTGTATCGTCAGTAGTACGTCGTCCGCGAATAGTGTGAGTTTATGTTCTTTGCTTTTTGTTTTGACGCCTAGGATTAACGGGTGTTGTCTAATGAGGGTCGTGAGAGGTTCTAACGCTAGGACGTATAACAGGGGTGAGAGGGGGCATCCCTGTCTGGTCCCGTTCGTGATCGCGAACGGATCCGAAAGGAACCCTGCGTTGATGAGTCTGGCGGTGGGGTTGCTATATAGAGCCTGTAGAGTGTTCATGAACTCTGGTGGAAATTCGAATTTCGCTAAGGTCGCTCTGAGAAAGTCCCAATTCAGCCTATTAAAAGTCTTTTCGGCGTCAAGCGACATGAATAGGCATCCCGTTTTCCGTTTGTGTATGCTGTATAGTATGTCTAAAACTTTCCTAGTGCCGTCCGTGCCTTGCCTTCCTTTTATAAAGCCGACTTGGTCTTCATGGACTAAGTCTGGAAGTATGGTAGCTAGTCTATTTGAGTATATTTTCGCCAGTAATTTAACATCTGTGTTAAGAAGTGAAATGGGGCGCAAATTCTGTCCTTTGTCTGGCGTTTTCCCCGGTTTGGGCAATGTGGCTACATGGGCTATGAGCATTTCCTGTGGAATTGTCCCTGTGTGTATTATGGATTGAAAGGTTTGTTTCATGTAAGGAATGAGTGTAGGTGCAAAATTTTTGTAGTAATGATTTGTGAATCCGTCTGGGCCCGGAGATTTCCCTGTAGGTAGTCTGGTAATCGCGTCTGTCAGTTCGGTTATCGAGATTTGTTCCGACAGTTTGTGTTTTTGTTCGTCTGTCAATGTTGGCAGTGGTATCTGTTGTAGGTATCCCTCAATGTCTGTGACAGTTGGTTGGTATAGGGTTTTATCTGCCTTTAGATTATAGAGGGTGTTATAAAAGGTCACTAGTTCTCTATTCATGTCTTGCGGGTTCCATAGTTTTTGGTTACCTTTTGAGAGAATGTATGGAATCTTAGCATTAGATTGCTTTTTGCGTAGCATGTTGGCCAACAATTTGCTAGCTTTGTTCCCTTTCGCATAGTGGTTCATCTTAAATTTTTTCAGAATGTATGCCGTTTTTTGGAATTGGTGGTCATTAATTTTGGTGGTGATGTTTTGGATTTCCGGTAGGAGATCCTGTTGTTTTGTTTGGTGATATGTTTGGGTGGTATCTCTTAGCTGTATGAGCAGTTTCATAAGTGTTGCTCGCCTTTGCTTATTGAGATATGATGCTCTGCGGATCATCAGTCCTCGCATGACTGATTTGTGTGCTTGCCACAGGGTCGGGGCCGTGATCTGGGGGTCCTTGTTAATAGTGAAGTAATGTTTAAGTTCTTGTTCTAGTGTGAGAGTGAAGTCTCGATCGTGGAGCAGTGAGTTGTTTAGTCTCCATGAGCCTTTGCCTTTGTATGTGAATGCGTCAGTGAGTGTCAGTATCACTGGGGCGTGGTCCGACCATGTAATATCGCCATGTATACATTGATGCGTGTGTGGTAATCCTGTGCTGTCACGAAAAAATGATCTATCCTAGAGTGGGTCTTGTGCACTTGGGAGTAATAGGTGTAGTCCTTATCTCCTGGATGTAGTGTGCGCCACACATCGTATAAGTTAAATTGAATTAGCAGTTTATTAAGTTTGGCGCAGGCCGGTCTGAGGGATGTCAGTCTGGGTTTTTTTGCGTCTAGTGTAGTGTCCATTTCCGGGTGTAGGGTGTGGTTTAGGTCTCCACAATATATTACTATACCTTGTTGTACATTGCTCACTTTAGTCAGTATTTTTTGTAAGAAGTGCCATTGATTGTCGTTTGGTGCGTAGATGTTGACTATGGTGTATGTGACATCATTAAGGTTGCATATTAGTATGAGGTATCTCCCATTGGTGTCTTTGACAATTTTGAGTGGTTCGAATGCCACTGATTTGTGTATTAGAATGCTAACTCCTCTGGATTTGTAGCTGTGTGTGGAGTGGTATTGGTTTGGGAATTGTTTAAGGTCCAAAGATGGAGATGTCTGCCTTTTGAAGTGAGTTTCTTGGAGGCAGATCACATCCGCGTTATGGTTTTTCAGTTCCGTGCGCAGTGTTTGGCGTTTTTGGGGGGAATTTAGACCCCTTACATTATGTGAGTATATTTTCATTATGGAGTTGGGCAGGTTTGAATTCTTCGTCTGTTGTTGGGTAGTTTAGTTTAATGTTTAGTGAGAGTTTGCCTCGGTATGCCAACCATGGTGTGTACCTGGTGATGGGCGATGTGCAGACTGTTTGCTTAATATGCATAGTTTTGGGTATAGTGGGTTCGTGAACCTTCTCGTGGTTTGCAACTAGGGATGAGGGTTGGTGGGGTAGAAACCTGAGTCTCGTGGAGAGCTCAACTATATACAACAATGCCCAGATGTAGGGCTCGGTACTTCTTGGTAGTACCTGGGGTGTGGTGAGCATGTACTTTCTGCTCACGAAGGAGGCTACCTGGGCTCCTTCATTGGTTAGGTATTATCATATGCCCCGAAATAAATGCCAGGCTAGTATCCCTTTTTTTTTTTTTTTTTTTGTCTAATGTGCTCTTGTGGTATGGGTATGTTCTTCTAGCAGACATCTGATTATGGGTTTGGTGCCTTATCGTAATGCTAGTGCCAAGGCAAGAGGGAGTGCTAGCACACCTTTTTATTTTTTTGTTTTTTTTTTTCAGTTCCAATTTGTAGCACCCCGGTATTCGCTTCAGTGTGGTGGGGGGAGCTGCCACAGCTCCTTGTACTGCAAGCGCTAGGTCGCCTGTGCTGCGTTTAATTCCGGAGTACTTTGGTTGGCGTGAACATCAAGACAAAAAAGTGCATATTGTACAAACGTGACAGAGATGTTCAGACAGTGCATATTTTTAATGCATATGAATAATGCAAAAAATACAAATATATACTTTTTTGTAAAATGGCAATTACCTTGGTATAAGCCACAGATATAACTTCTGCAGATAAGAGCAAGCTGTGCAGTGTACAGTCTGATATGCATTAGAATTAAGCTGTGTGTACATGATTTGGGCTTAAACACAGGGATGCCATCAGAAATATTTGGCATACCTCAAAGTCTTGGTACTATGGGCCCACCCCCAGTCCACCCATAGGGTTCCTGAATATGCCCACAGTGACCAACCCACAAGGATGCAGTGTATTGGAATAGTGGATGCAGTGTGTGTGATGTGTGTAGTGGATGTAGTGTGTGTGTGTAATAGATGATCTGTGAAAGAATATTGTTTTTTGGTCCTCACTCTAGCACAAGTGTGGCAAAAATGTTGCCAGCTGGTGATCTACAATTTGCCCATCCTTCCAGGGTTGTATTTAGCATTAAGCAGTGTTTGTGTGTTTGAATGTAAGCATGTTTTGTATGGAGTATGTGTGTGAATGTTAGTGTTTGAATGCAGGTCTGCATTTGTGTGTAGTGTATACACAGCCATAAAACTGATACACATACATTCACACACAAAGATACACAGACACACAGACTGACATAAATGCAAATACAGACACATGGATACACACAGACACACAAACACACAGTTATACACACAGGTACATACACTGACACAGTTACACTCACTGACACTGTTACACAAGGCACACACCTAAGTCCAAGGGCCACCTGATGGGTTTCCTCATCATGCAGGCCCTGGTACAGTTGCACGGGCTGCATCAGCAGAAGTTCCACTCCTGCACAGGGTACATATATATAGCGATATTTGCTTTATATATGGGCACCTGGGCCTCCCAAGACCACCGAGCCCATGGCAACCATCATGTTTGTCACCCCCTGATTGCAGTATTTCTTACACAGCAAAGGCAGTCTACATAGTCAGGCACACTTGCTCATAGCACAGCTCATGTAAGTGTAAGGGTTGTGAATTAATTGGTAGCAAAGTGTGTATGCTTAGAAAGGACACTAAAGATACACAAATTCTGCATAGCTAGCTTAGAACTCTGGTTCCATGTTTCGTGATGCAGGCCGCTGGAAGTATAGTTACTTACCAAAAAATTAAATATCTCAGTATTGGCAGCATTTCAATTAAAAACAGTTTACATGCATACAACACATGCCACAACCACTTGAACAATATGTTTAGAGGATCCTTTTAAATAGCTCTTAGAGAACAGCAGAAGATATGTCAATTGAAAGCACAACTGCTCTTGGGCATTGATGCTGCTGCTAAAGCATGAGTTTTAGATAATGAGGAAGGAAAAACATTGAGTATCTTTGCATTGACTAGGGTGCCTGTGAGCTGAAGTCAGCAGATTTAACTCTGAGTTCAGTAAAAGCTCATTTGCAGAGCTATGTTGATCCTATATAGTATTTGATCAATAATTAAATCGGTGGCTTGATACCTGTAACACAATGCATGTGAACTACACAGCCACTAATCTTTAGAAACAAACACATTTTTACACATTCTTGCTTATAATGGTGAATGAACTACAAACAACTTTATAGATAAATGTATTTATCACAGAGATGGACATTATTCACTCTATTTTGTTTTTCACTGGACATTATTCACTGGAATTAATATATATATATTAGAAAGTTTTAAAAAGTAAATTACTGTATCCTTTAGTGCTAAAGAGTTAAGGCTAAAGAGATCTTTCATAGATCCTATATCACTAAGTATTGGTTATATCACATCCAGATTCATGTTTCATAAATTAATATAATCACATACAAAATCCCATGAAATATTAGGGAAATTAAGGCATTAGAAATAATGATCTGTGATAACTTAATCTGTGATTAAAAGACAAAATGTTACATGACATGTTCTTATCAACAAGCTTTGATGGAGTTGTATCCTGATTTCTGAATGTTAAGGCTATATTGTTTTGTGCCATTGTTCTAAGCCATTGGAAAACCACAAGGGCAACAATCCTCAAATGAGGTTCCTATGAGTGAAGCATTTATTTTTGGTCTAAATATATTTCACATTATACTCAGGACTATGGTGTTCATTGGAAATATTCATTTTGTATGGTGAAGCCCCATATGTGGAACTCTACACCTCTATATTTAGTGAAGGAGGCAGTAAGTTATCAGTGTTTTCTTTTTACTTTTACTCAAAGCCATCACTGGATTTAAAAAGAGAGATCACTAGTATAGTGCTCAGTAAGGCTGCTAAGGAAAAGTGTGTATGCCCCCCCAGGTGAAAGTTATTTGTGGGTGCTGAAAATGAGAACTTTGCAGCACATTGCTCTATTAGTTAGGCACCATGCTAGGATTGCATTAAATACCTCACTGATCAGCTTGTGCTTGTTTACAGCTATGTTTTAATTGAGTATACCAACTCAAAGCTAAAGTGCAATATGTGGCACTTTTACAAACAAAAATGCAATACATACTAAAGTGCAGCTTGTTATAACTGTAGAACCAATCATGATAGTTCCAATAAAAAATTCACTGCAAACAAGTAAAGGGAACAGCGCACAACAAAATATAATGGTGGGTTATATCTTACTTAATCCATAATTGCAATGACACTTAAAATGTGTATTACATATGTATTATAAAATGTAATAAAAGCACATATATAGCCCAAAGTCTAGTATAAATAAAGTTATTAGAATTATCCCTGATGCACCTGAGGAAGACGCAAGGAGCGTTGAAATTGGTGGTGCTGTGTTCTATTACGGTGGACTTATACTCTATGGCACTCTAGTAACTTGAATGTAAGATTTTTATATTGTTTGTTTGATAAATATTGTTTATCTTATCTTAACTAATAAGCTGCCACTTACCCTGTCTGGAACTACAACCATAACGCTTATGCTGTACTACATGAGCCAGTTATTTGAAACGGCTCAGAAAAATGTGAGTGTGATGCCTTAAGAGAACAATATTATTTAATTATTACCTGTGATTACAATTCTATCCTATGAGATTTGTTTTCTCATTTTCTGTAGGAATCATTATACCAGGCGTTGGGGTATATGTGTGCTTTTATTATATGTTATAATACATATGTATACACATAGAGGGTTGCATGTTATTGCACTTATGGATTAAGTAAGATATAACCCACCATTACGATATTTTTTTGTGCTCTGTTCACTTTATTTGCTTGTTATGTTTTTCTTGACATCATAGAGCATTTAAGCAGTATGCTACTCATGGGTAGAGAGGAGGGGAGATAGTATAAAGAGGTAGCAATAGGTCTTAACATCTCCCTAGCTTTCTGTTACTACATGAGTTATCAAGTTTTTCTTTGGGCTCGAGCTTCAGGTGTTTCTGAAACCTAGGAAAACCCCTGGTGTGAACCTCTTTATATTACTGGGCTACAATAATGAAATAAATTGCACACAATATACATGTTTTCTAACTCTCTCTCAAGATACTGATATCATTATGGTAATACCTTAAAAAATATTTTTTAAACATAATAGCATTTTAGTTTGTGTGTGTCTGTGTGTGTGTGAGGGGTGCAGTGTGTGTGTATGTGGGGCAGTTTGTGCATGAGGGGTACAGTGTGTGTGGGGG